ACTCTGTGCCGATGCCATGGGTAGCAGTCACTTCATGCTCTCACCTAGGCAGTGGGTCACTGTCACGGACCTCCACTCAAGAACAAACAGCTCCGGAATGGGTCCAGTGTTCACTTTGAGTCCTGTTGGGCTGTGGGTGTCTTCACTATGGAAACACCTGGCCTACATATCTTATTTTGTTTGCATTATTACTGAAATATTTGGATTTGCTTTCTAAACAGAGCAGAGGGAAGTAAACAAACACCAAGGTGTGTGAAGGCTTCCCACGCTGCAAGGTTCCTGCTTAGCCTCCCTGTGTCTTGGGGAAGGTGCCTTTTGAAGAGAACAGTATTGTTATTGCCAATTCCTCCTCGGTTCTGAAGCCAGCAAAAGGTAAAATTATACAAATCTCCACATACTCTTAAGTTGAATGTCTCAAGGAAGTAACAATTTACCGTCGTTTGCAAAGGATGTGAATCCAGATGGTCCCAGAAAGAAAAAAGAAAAAAGCCATAGAAATATATAATTTTGGAAGCGGAATTTCTCCTGCTGAGAGGTAGCTGTCAGGATTCTTCTCTGTGATCTCAATCTGAAACCAACATGAAATTAATTTTTACTTTTCAGTAAGAAATCATTCCATATGCAGCAGTTTGTAATCTTTAGCTGTTTCACTGAAGTTTAGAAGTGGGCATCAGCAGACAACAACCACATTCTTAATGCACAGGCTGAAGTGTAAACATATCCTAAATTGCTTTTTTTTCTTATTTATGTATCTTCTCCAGAGATATTATTCTGGCCACATTTTAATCGTATCTTGAAACCCATTCTTATAAAGAAATAAATGCCTCATATTTTACACAGCTGACAAAATCCACATGGAACTCACATCCAGGCTGAATGAAAACTCATCACTAGGCCGCATTTCCTTTCCATTACATTTATGAAAATAAAGACTGTAGAGGCCTTCTTGGTCATCAGTGCTGATGTTAAAGAAAAACTGAAAGTGAAGAAGAAAAATATTTAAGGCCTCTACAGAAAGATTAAGACATCCTTAGCTAAGTTTTTAAATCACAGAAATAAATCATGTCTACCATGGACAGAAAAAAATACCAAGAGATTACTTAAACTACTCAAATTCTCCCACAGCAGAGTTTAAACAGATGTTTTCTTATTCTCTTCCTCCTAATATTGCTGTAACAATTTTCAAGGTAACAAAAAAGTTGACAGAATCACACAGCAAATACCTATACACTCAAGGCCTGGATTCTACAATTAACATGTCGCTGTGCTTGCCTTAGCACATCTCATCAGCGAGGCCTGTTGCAAAAGCCTGTAAGATACCTAAGAAGCAGCTACTTAGCTTTCAGGCCACCGTATTATTTTGCTCTTTAGGTAAAAAACACTCCTGAAAAAGAAAGGAGACCCATTCATATATGAAAATGCAAAGAACGAATATTCCCACATTAAAATTTACACCTGTGGTTTTAGACAACAAGAATATAGGCCACATTTTCTGCATTTATTTTTCTATGGTTTTCATATATTTCAGGTATTCAAATAAAGCATAAATCAAAAGACATTATAAGATCACACACTGTGACTCTGGTCA